GCCTATAAATTATAAAAATCTTAGGATTTTTTTTTATTACTAATCCATTACCAGGCATTGAACCAGGAAAAAAGCAAACCATCAAAGATGGAATCTGAAGCTGGTTATCTGACCTGATTGGGCTTGAAAACAATGAAAACAGCAATCTTGTGCCAATATTTGTGGAAAATGATGTAGTGGGCATTTATGTCATGTAGTGTTGTTATTTAAAATGTTGCCTAAAATCAAGTTCTCACTGAAGGCAAGACTTGGGGAGATGAATGGCTTCTCTGGCCGACTCCTATGGTAGAACTTTTGACTAGAGAGATTCTGGGGTTGATCAACGGCTTCTTACCGCTCTGGAAAGTTTACAGAAAGGAAATAAGAAGTTTAAGTCACAATTAAGGAAATGTGTGAGCTTCTCTGATGGTTCTACAAGAATCTCATCATTTTTAGTAACACACTGCATATTTTGAACAGTTCCAACTCAGAATTATAACATTTTAAGTTCAATGCACAGATTCATCAGATCACTTTTGTTATAGTTGAGATATTGATTGGAGAAGAGTGGACCTTTAAGAATTGGGTTGAAGGCATTTGTCTGGAATTCAGTGAATCTGAGGACCATAATTCCCAAAATCCTAAACCTCCTTTCCTAGTAGGAGCATTTTATGTCTTTTATGTCTGCAGAAAAATCAATTCCTTTTTTTTATAGACAGTGAACTTGCCTCATCCAAGTTAAGGGAGTGCTGATTGCCCCTTTGATCTATCCCACTACCCCTTCTTGCTGCCAGACTCATAACTACAGTTAGATCCCAGCCTTCTCAGAATAACTGACATGAAGTCTATCCTGGAAGATACTACACACCACAAATTTGCCTCCCACTTCAGAGATGTCTCTAGGGAACAATTGGTTTAGAGTGTGAGGGCTACCTCTTCTAAAATGAAGGAGAAGTTTTATCACTTTTTCTACTCCCTATTAAGAAACATAATCTTTAGTGAACCTGTGTGTGTGTGTGTGTTTTAAAGGTAGAAGTATGTTATGTAGCACTATAGCTCCCCTCAGGGAAGGCCTTAAAAAAATAGAGGTAAAAGGAAATCTTTCCAGTGGGCAGACCATTGAGCAATCTATCTGATGATCCATACTGCCTCGATACCATGCTGCCATTGCCTAACGGTTTGACCATTTGGTGACTTGGAGAGTTGGGTAAGTGGCATGTCTCTTTGAATGAGCACAGTTATCCATTGTAGATGTTCACCAAAAGAAATCCATTGCAGAGGAAGCTTTCAATAATTGGATAGGTAACCGTCCTCTGAAAATTCCCCAGTCATTGTAAGTCTTGTCCAATGGGTTCATATTTATAGTGACAGTTATGTCAAGAATAGAGGTTATGCAAGAGCTGAATGCATGGATTTATCTTTATCAGTGCTGATGTGGTTATTGCCCTTATCGAATGCCTTATACACCACTGTGATCATCGTATTTCTTATCACAATGTTTTAAATGAAGGAACTCATTTTATAGGAGAAGAAGTAGAGCAGGAAGTTCATGTTCATGGAATTCACTAATCTTACTACATATTACAATAACCAGAAGCTCTTGGCCATATATAGATAATTATAATGTCCTATTGAAGACTCAGGCAAGGTCCAGCTAGGAGACAACAATTAAAAAATTAGGGATGCCGTCCTGTAAGGTGAGAGATAAGATTTGAGGTAGCAACCTACATATGTTATGGTGATCAAGAAGTAGAAGAGAGAGTGAATAATGGAGGAGGGAAGTTATCAACTGTGTTTCCATAGCCATTTAGAGAAATAGAAACTGCAGCAACTATGCATTTTTTCTCATTTGTTTTATGTGTACACACACACACACACACACATACACATTTGTGTGTGTGTATGTATTCCATTTTTTTAATCTTTTTCCCTTATTATTTGATAAGAGAGTATTAAGGGAGAAAATGTTACAAATTCATCTCTAGGTTACAAAATATCCCTGAGAAGGGGAATTAATACCCAACCCCAGAGATGGACATAGTAACTGACAGGACATTTCTTGCCTTGACCATTATCCTGCTTGGCCACATCTAAAACGAGAGTTGAAGAAAACTCTTCTCTTTGATGCAACCAAGTTTTTAGATCTTGTCTTCTGCTGGTCTTGGTCTGTTAAACCGTTGTTGCTCCAATCTGACAGTTTCTTTTTCAGTACAGTTCCCTCACAAATTTAGTTAGGTCTATGATGTGTTTGAAAAGTTATTTATTTATACCTTTCATACCTTTTTATACCATTTATACCTTTGCAATTTACTTTTTTTAATCATTTTTTTAAAATTTATTTTCAGCATAACAGTATTCATTGTTTTTGTACCACACCCAGTGCTCCATGCAATCCGTGCCCTCTCTAATACCCACCACCTGGTTCCCCCAACCTCCCACCCCCCTACCTCTTCAAACCCTTCAGATTGTTTTTCAGAGTCCATAGTCTCTCATTGTTCACCTCCCCTTCCAATTTCCCCCAACTCCCTTCTCCTAACTCCCCATGTCCTCCATGCTATTTGTTATGCTCCACAAATAAGTGAAACCATATGATAATTGACTCTCTCTGCTTGACTTATTTCACTCAGCATAATCTCTTCCAGTCCCATCCATGTTGCTACAAAAGTTGGGTATTCATCCTTTCTGATGAAGGCATAATATTCCATAATGTATATGGACCACATCTTCCTTATCCATTCGTCCGTTGAAGGGCATCTTGGTTTTTTCCACAGTTTGGCAACCGTGGCCATTGCTGCTATAAACATTGGGGTACAGATGGCCCTTCTTTTCACTACATCTGTATCTTTGGGGTAAATACCCAGTAGTGCAATTGCAGGGTCATAGGGAAGTTCTATTTTTAATTTCTTGAGGAATCTCCACACTGTTCTCCAAAGAGGCTGCACCAACTTGCATTCCCACCAAAAGTGTAAGAGGGTTCCCCTTTCTCCACACCCCCTCCAACACGTGTTGTTTCCTGTCTTGCTAATTTTGGCCATTCTAACTGGTGTAAGGTGGTATCTCAAGGTGGTTTTAATTTGAATCTCCCTGATGGCTAGTGATGATGAACATTATTTACTTTTTGTATTAAGAAAGTCCATTTAACTTTATGATTGAACTAGAAGATGGAGTAATTTTACCTTGTGGTAGATATGATGACTGGTTGATCTCATGTCTGCTTTTTTTTTCCTTTTTCTTTTCTTTTTATTTTTTTTTGAAAGAGAACATCTTTGTAAGAATGATAAATGCACAATGTTAGGCAGAAGCATGATGACGTTGCTATTAATTTGGCATGCTAGTTTAAATAGAAGCAGAAGGGTGAAAATGAATCCTGAGTGTCTAAAAGGTGAACTCTGCGAGCTTCTTGTCTGTTGGCCATAGACTTCATTATGCGTGGTCTGGACTCACTGCTTTTTCCAAGGGGCATAGGAGACTGTAAACTACATTTCCCAGCCTTTCTTTCTTGCTGGCTTCCACTTAGGTGTTGCCAATGAGAGGCTGTGACAGTAGATTTGGAAAAGGGGCAAAGGAAAGCCTCTTTTTTGTTTTCTTCTCCCTGTGGTGACGTCTTTGGCAATAGCAGCAATACTGGGTGAATAGGAACTCCTGGATTTATGCTCAGGCATCACTGCATCTCCATCAGCAGCAACAGTTGGCACTTCAACAGCCAATGCTTATGGCTCTGCCTCTGCAAATGCAAGAGCAGCAGAAGTAGTGGAAGGCTATGAGTTGGCTCTCAGAGCATTAGCAGTAGTGTAGGTTCTGGCCTTCTGGAAAAGAGGTAGCTATTGCAGTTCCAACAGCAGCAGCAGCCCATGTTCCAGCAACTTCTGCTTCATAGGTATTCATGAGCTTTGATTGGTAACTCTTTTCTGTTTTCACTTCAATAAATGTATTACTTTTGTATCCAACCTCTGTATGAATTTCTTGAAGTTTCAAATATTTAGTACAATATATTTCAAATATTGAGGACAATTGTTTTTTTCCTAGTTGGATACTAGGGGATAGAAATGCACCTCTATGATAAAATTTACTTAATGTTTAGGAACATGACAAACAATTCTCCACATTGTTCAAGGATGTACACATTCTGACTTTTAAAAGAGTCAGAAATTACGACCTTCAAATATAGGTTATGGGTTATGGAGAGAGAGAAGAATGCATTTTGGGGGGGTACATGCTTGGCTTCAAATACTTTGATGTTTTATTTCCTATTTTGGGTGATAGATAAGTATTCATTAAATTGTCATTTATTTATTTTTTAAAAAGATTTTATTTATGTATTTGAGAGCGAGAGAGAGCAAGAGTGAGAGAGTGTGAGCAGGGGGGAGATGCAGAGGAAGAGGGAGAAGCCGACTCCTTGATGAGCAAGGAGCCTGACACAGGGCTCGATACCAGGACCCTGGGACCATGACCTGAGCCAAAGGCAGATGCTTTACTGACTGAGCCACCCAGGTGCCTCTGTTATTTATTCATTTTTATAACTGAATCATAATACATTAAAATAAAGATCAGTATTAAGTATGATGACTGAAAAAGATAAGTATTCTCCAGTAAATCAGTACAGAATAGGTAAAATTCAATTAGCAAATATTTCACAAAGGTTAAGGCCTGTTAGTATTTTTTTTAAAAGATTTTATTTATTTATTTGACAGACAGAGATCACAAGTAGGCAGAGAGGCAGGCAGAGAGAGAGGAGGAAGCAGGATCCCTGCCGGGCAGAGAGCCCAATGTGGGGCTCGATCCCACAACCCTGGGATCATGATCTGAGCTGAAGGCAGAGGCTTTAACCCACTCTGCCACCCAGTGCCCCAGTATTTTAGAAAACAAATCATGTATTTATGGATCTTAAACAGTCAGAATAATGTAAAGTAAACTTAAATCAATGTAAATTGTTTTGGTTGGTAATGATTATAATGATGTTCTATTTTGTCTCTTAAAATGCATGTTACTGCTTTCTTTTTTTTTTTCTTGTTACATTTTAGGTATTGTGTTTGGTCTCAAAGAACTGAGCATAGACACTTTTGAAGAAGGCAATCATCTGAAAGATGTGGAGAATTTATTGTTGCCTTTGACTTATGATATTTCATCTTTCCTGGTAGCAGTGTTTATAGCATACTACGGAGGGAAAGGAAACATACCAAGATGGGTTACATTTGCCTCCTTTTTAGTGGGATTTGGATCACTTTTATTTGCTTACCCATACTTTACTGAGGGAGATTTTAAAGCAAATGTAGATATTGAAGGTAAGATTATAAAAGGTGTCAAATTATTATTTAAATTATTTTAAATATTTGAAAATATTTTAAATATTTGAAATATTATTTAAATATCCATCATTTCCAGTATTCCCACAAAATTCCTTTTATAATTGTATTTTTTTTGAGAATATAATGACTGATTTTAGAACTGCTACATTCAGTATAAATGAAATGTTAACTTAAAAAAAAGGTGTATTGGTGGAAATAACTTTGTAAAAGGTGAAATATTTCATGAGAGATACTGCATATTTGTTGTATGTTTAATTTTGACTCATTTAACAAAAATAATTGTCTTTTTCAGAAGATATTTGCCAAGAAATGAAGACTGTCCAGGCTTGCAGGAAAACTGTATCATCATTCCATGTGAAATATTTAGTTTCCTTCATCCTGGGGCAGACTGTGCAGGGAGTAGCAGCAATGATTCTTTATATCCTTGGCATAGTCTTTATTGACAACAGTGTTGCCATACACTCAGCTGGTATTTATATAGGCAAGTTTTTTTTTTTCCTCTCTAATATGGTTGACCCATTTTGAATTTTTATTGAGCTTTTACATCTTGGTGTACATATCTAAACTGATATGTAAGTGCTAATTATTGGCCCTTATAATAACATTATAACAAATGATAAGTTGTGTGTTTGACTTCAAAATCACATTAGGTTGCCTAATTCTGAGGAATTGCTTGAGATTTTGAATTGTAGACAAGTCATCTGAAAGTCATCAAAAAGATAAAGAGAAATAGGAAAAGGACATACTTTCTTAAGTAATAAAAACTGTACTCTTTCTATGTATTGTGTTTAACATATAATACATAGAACATTGATATATATATATGTGTCATATCAAACTATATAGATTACATTTCATTTCTCTGGAAAAAGTCTCAAGTTATTAGATTGAATTGTCTGAATAATTGTATGTTTAAACTTTGGGGACATAGGTGAGAAGTTGCTGCCATCATGTTCGTAAGGGGATAGAAATACTGTTTCACATTTCCTCAGTAGTTGATTCAGTGTGGTGTTGAAATCATCATCATCATTTTACTAAGCTCTTTAATGCTTTAACTCAGTTCACCTTTTGCGGGACTCAGATATTTTGAAGTTAATGAAAATATAATCTTGTTCATTCTATCAAGGAGGGAAGTGATATGCTATTTAATTGACTACAATGTAGTACATTCTATTTCTAGTCTTTTGTGTCATGGTATCCTACAATAAGTAACCCAGGGGTATATCTCACAATAATCTGTATTTCTTCATGTTGCAATAGCTCTGCTCTTGGTAGATCATCTATCTGTACAGTGTTATCATATTTAAAAAAAAATAAAAAAAATTTAAAGTATTGGAAAGGTAACTTTAGAGAACATAGCATTTTGCACCAAAATAATTATTTTTTCCATGAGAAGTAAGGAAGGTTATGTAAATAAATTTAAATAGATGATATTCATATTTATGTTTGCTTTTAGAAAAAAATGCAGTGATTTATTAGTGTTGGCTGAGGATGGCAACAAATCTGTTTGTTTTACTTTTGGTTCTACTGATTAGTAATTAAAATGCACATCTACACACTGCAAACAGTTGCCACCTCTTGCCACCATGGCAGCTAAGGTGAAGTATACAAAGTTGCCACAAAGTGTAATCAGCTATATTGGATTTATATTTATATTAAATATAAATATATTTATATTATATTAAATATGTAGATTTTAAATAAGATACAGTGAATTATATAATTATCTAAGTTTCTTTAATATAGATACTAGAATATATGAAAATATGTATATATATGATTAATTTTATATGTCAGTTTTGCTAGATTTGTTCGGTCAGACATCATTCTAGATGTTTCTGCTATATTTTTTAGATGTGAGTAACACAGTCAGTAGACTGAATAAAACAGATTACTCTCCATTATGTGGGTGAATCTTATCAGTTGAAGGCTTTCAGAGCAAAAATGTAGGTTTCCCAAAAAACAAGCAATTCTTTCTCTAGACTGCTAGATTAAAAACTCTGCCTGAGTTTTTCCAGCTTTCTAACCTGCTGTTCAGAATTCATTTTTGATGTTCAGTATTCATTTTATAGGTATAATGGAAGCTTCCTTTGTATTTGGATGTTCTCTGAGTTATGGGATAGCAGCACCCCTTTTGAAGGGCACTAAGAACAGAACTTCTGCAATTAAGTAAGCCATTTTATTTCCTTGTTTGTTGTTTACATTGTTTACAACATTTTGGGCAGATACTGTAACCTATAAACATATACGCTTAATTTGTAATAACCATATTTTTAGGACAAACATATGTAAATGTGACTGATATGGATATATATGTACATATAAATCTAGAATATACACTTTTATCTTTAGTGTTTCATATGTAATTTTTAAAAACACTATTTATAATGACAACCTTATTACTATTCTACATAGTTTTTTGAAAAATTGTGGAGAAACCACATAACATAAAATTTACCATCTTAGCCATTTGTAAGTGTATGATACAGTTGTGTTAGCCATGTGTACTTTGTTGTGTAACAGACCACTAGAACTTTTTATCTTGCAAAGCTAAAACTCTATATCCATCACAGATAACTTCTATTTACCCACTTCTCCCCAGACTCTGAAAACCACCATTCTACTTTCTACAATTTTGACTACTTTTTATAACTCATGTAAGTGGGATCATGCAGTATTTGTCTTTTTCGTGACTGGCTTATTTCGCTTAGCATAATGTCCTCAAGGTTAATCCATGCTATATAGCATATGCCAGTATTTTCTTCCTTTTTAAGGCTAAATAATATTCCATTGCATGTATATGCTTTAGTTCTTTATTTTTTAAGCTTTCATTTTTTATTTATTTTTATTTATTTTATTTTTTTCCCCACCCTATCCCTTCCCCCCACTCCCCTAGTAACCTCAGTTTTGTTTCCTGAGAGTAAGAGTCCCTTATGGTTTGTCTCCTTCCCCGGTCCCATTTTGTTTCATTTTTTTTTCTTCCCTTCCCTCCACAACCCCCTGCTTTGCTTCTCAAATTCCTCATATCAGAGAGATCATATGATAATTGTCTTTCTCTGATTGACTTCTTTCACTTAGCATAATACCCTCTAGTTCCATCCACGTTGTAGCAAATGGCAAGATTTCTTTTTTGATGACTGCATAGTATTCCATTGTATGTATATATACCACGTCTTCTTTATTCATTCATCTGTTGATGGACATCTAGGCTTTTTCCATAGTTTGGCTATTGTGGACACCGCTGCTATAAACATTTGGGTGCACGTGCCCCTTCGGATCACTGCATTTGTATCTTTAGAGTAAATACCTAGCAGTGCGATTGCTGGGTCATAAGATAGCTCTATTTTCAACTTTTTGAGGAACCTCCATGCTGTTTTCCAGAGTGGCTGCTCCAGCTTGCCTTCCCACCAACAGTGTAGGAGGTCCCCTTTCTCCACATCCTCACCAACATCTGTCATTTCCTGACTTGTTAATTTTATATACCATACTTCTTTATCCATGTATCTGTCTGTGGACATTTAGCTTATTATGTCCACCCCTTGATTACTATGAATAATGCTTCAGTTAACATGGATAACATGGATAAGCAAATATCTCTTTGAAATTCTATTTTCAGTTCTTTTGGATATATACTCAGAAATGGGATTGGTAAATCATACGGTAATTCTATTTTTAATATTTTTGAGGAACTTCCATCTTATTTTCCATAGAGGCTCTGCCATTTACCTTCCCACTAGTAGTATATAAGGGTTCCAATTTCTCAATGTTCTAGCTAGCACTTGCTATTTTCTTTTTTCTTCTGCATCCTCCTCCACCTTTTCTTTCTTCTTTCTTCTTCTCTTTATCCTTCTTCTAATAGTCATCCTGACAGTTATGAGGTGATAGCTCATTGCAGTTTTGATTTTCTTTTCCCTTATGATTAGTGATATTGAGCACCTTTTCATTTACTTGTTGCCTATTTGTCTATTTTCTTTGGAGAAATGTCTAAACATTTAGTCTGTAACATGTACATTGCTTCTTCTAACAGTACTATTCAAAGACTCATAGATGCCATATTCATCACTGTGGTTTCTCACATCATACTACCTCTGACAAGGGACCATTGAGAAGACAAGTGTGACAGTATGACAACTACAGATTTCACTGGTCTTACTCTGTAATCCATTGTCCAGAAATAGCTGACTTGATAGAATGGTGTCATGGCTTGGTATCTTCACCAGTTTTTTGGTGGAATCTTTAAGTTTTCTATATTTAGGATCACGTCATCTTCAGAGACAGTTTTACTCATTCCTTTCTGATTTGAATATCTTTATTTATCTTTCTTGACCAGTTGATTGGGTTAGTATGTCCAGTGCTGTGTTGACTGAAAGTGGGCATCCTTGTTTTGCTCCTGATCTTACTTTGACATATATGGTTTTTATTATGTTGATGTGTGTTTCCTTAAACTCAATTTGTTGAGAGTTTTTATTATGAATGAATGATGAATTTTGTCAATGATTCTCTATATCAATTAACATGATCCTATGATTTTTATCTTTCATTTTGTTCATGTGGTGTATCACATTGGTTGATATGCAGTTATTGAACCATTCTTGCATGCCTGGAATAAATCCCACTTTGATTCTTTTAATGTATTGTTAAATTTGGTTTCCTAAGATTTTGTTGAGCATTTTTGAATCTGTGTGCATCAAGGATATTGGCTTGTAATTTTCTTTTCTTGTAGTGTCCTTGTCTGGTTTTAGTTATACATATGAATGTAACATCCAATTTCAATTTATTTTTTTTATTTAATATGACAAATGGGTAAAGTTTCTCTTTTGCCCATCAAAGGGATAGATATCTTATTGTACTGATGACATTTATGGATCTTTCCTTTTTTTTAATTTTAATTTTTATTTATTTATTTATTTTTTACATAAAACAGACTTCAATATTTATGACATAAAGGGGTACTAAATTAATACATTAAGAATCTTCTACAGATCAATAAGGGGAAAAAAACTCCTGCAAACACTTGTAAAGATTAGCAGGAAGTTCACAAAGGAAGGAATACATATTCCCAATAAACATAAAAATATATAGAAATTGGTTCCATTTCACTATTTGCAAATAGAATAACAGTGATATATATAATATGCATATTATTATATTAGATATTATATTATATTACATTATATTATATGTAGTTAGCAAAGATTCTGAATATTTAGTGCTAGCTAATTTGTGGTAAAAAGACAATGTTTGAAGAATATAATTAGAATAACTTTTTTTCCTTTTTACTTTAAATTCAATTAACATATAGTGTATTATTAGTTTCTGAAGTAAAGTTCAGGGATTCATCAGTCTTACATAATACCCAGTGCTCATTACATCATGTGCTCTTCTTCACCCAGTAACCCCATCCCCTAACCTCCCACAGCAACCTTCAGTTTGTTTCCTATGATTATGAGTCTCTTATGTTTTGTCTCCCTCTCTGATTTCATCTTATTTTATTTTTCCCTCCCTTCCCCTATTTGTTTTGTTTCTTAAGTCCCACATATGAGTGAGATCATATAATAATTGTGTTTCTCTGATTGACTCATTTCACTTAGCCTGATACCCTCTAGTCATAGCCAAATACCATCCACGTTATTGCAAATGGCAAGATGTCATTTTTTGGATGACTGAGTAGTATTCCATTATGTGTGAATGTATATATGTATGTACATGTGTATGTATGTATATATGTTTGTGTGTGTGTGTATATATGTGTATATATATATATATACATATATATGTATGTATATATATATATATATAAACAATATTTGTTCTGGCAGTCCATAAGCTTGGAATGTTTTTCCATTTCTTTGTGTTCTTCAGTTTTTCATGAGTGTTCTATAGTTTTCTGAGTACAGATCATTTGCCTCTTTGGTTAGGCTTATTCCTAGGTATCTTAGGGATTTTGGTGCAATTGTGTGTGGGATCAACTCCTTAACTTCTCTTCTGTCTCATTGTTAGTGTATAAAAATGCAACTGATTTCTGTGTATTGATTTTATATCCTGCTACTTTGCTGAATTCCTGTATGAGTTCTAGAAATTTTTTGGTGGAGTCTTTTGGTTTTTCCACATAGAGTATCGTGTCATCTGTGAAGACTGAGAGTTTGACTTCTTTGCTGATTTGGATGGATGCCTTTTATTTCTTTTTGTTGTCTGACTGCCGAGGCTAGGACTTCTAGTACTATGTTGAACAACAGTGTTGAGAGTGAACATCCCTGCCATGTTCCTGACCTTAGGGGGAAAGCTCTCAGTTTTTTCCCATTGAGAATGATATTCTCTGTAGGCTTTTTACATATGGCTTTTATGATATTGAGGTATGTACCCTCTATCCCTACACTTTAAACAGTTTTAACCAAGAAAGGATGCTATACACTGTCAAATGTCTTTTCTGAATCTATTGAGAAGATCATAGGGTTCTTATCCTTTCTTTTATTAATGTATTGTATTACACTGGTTGATTTACAGATGTTAAACCACCTTTGCAGCCCAGGAATAAATTTCACTTGGTTGTGGTGAATAAGCCTTTTAATGTACTGTTGGATCCTGTTGACTTGGTATCTTGGTGAGAATTTTTGTATCCATGTTCATCAGGGATATTGGTCTGTAATTCTTTTTGGTGGGGTCTGTGTCTGATTTTATGATCAAGGTAATGCTGGCCTCATAGAAAGAGTTTTGAAGTTTTCCTTCCATTTCTATTTTTTGAAACAGCTTCAGAATAATAGGTATTAATTCTTTAAATGTTTGGTAGAATTTTCCTGGTAGAATTTTCCTGGGAGGCCATCCATCCCTGGACTCTGTTTTGGGGAGGTTTTTTTTTTTTTTTTAAGATTTTATTTATTTGCCAAAGAGAGAGAGAGTGAAAGCACGAACTGGGGGAGCTGCAGGCAGAGGGAGAACCAGGCTCCCTGCTGAGCAGGGAGCCCAATTCAGGACTCAATCCCAGGACCCTGAGATCATGACCTGAGCCAAAGGTAGATGCTTAAATGACTGAGCCAGCCAGGCATCCCTGTTGGGAGATTTTTGATTACTGCTTCATTTTCCTTGCTGGTTATTGGTCTGTTCATTTTTTCTATTTATTCCTGTTTCAGTTTTGGTAGTTTATATGTTTCTAGTAATGTCTCCATTTCTTCAAGATTGCCTACTTTGTTGCTATATAGTTGCTCCACAATATGTTCTTATAATTGTTTATATTTCTTATATTTCTTCAGTGTTGGTTGTGATCTCTTTCATTCATTATTTTATTTATTTGTGTCCTTTCTCTTTTCTTATTGATAAGTCTGGCCAGGGGTTTATCAATCTTATCAATTCTTTCAAAGAACCAACTCCTAATTTCATTGATCTGTTCTACTATTTTTTTTTTTTTTTGGTTTCTATTTCACTAATATCTGTTCTAATCTTTATTAATTCTCTTCTCCTGCTGGATTTAGTCTTATTTGTTATTCTTTCTCCAGCTCCTTTAGGTATAAAGTTAGGTTGTGTATTTGAGCCCTTTTATTTTTTTTTGAGAAAAGCTTGTATTGCTATACACTCTTAGGACCACCTTTGCTGCATTCCAAAGGATTTGAATAGTTGGATTTTCATTTTCATTTGTTTCTATGAATTCTTTTAAATTCTTCTTTAATTTCCTGGTTGACCCCATCATTCTTTAGTCAGATGCTCTTTAACCTCCTTTTATTTGACTTCTTTCCAAATTTCCTGTTGTGATTGAGCTGAAATTTCAAAGCATCATGGTCTGAAAATATGCAGGGAATGATCACAGACTTTTGGTACTGGTTGAGATCTGATTTGTAACCTAGTATGTGATCTATTCTGGAGAATATTCCATGTGCACTCCAGAAGAATGTATATTCTGTTGCTTTAGGATGGAATGCTCTGAAAATATCTGTGAAGTCCATTTGGTCCAATGTGTCATTCAAAGCCCTTTTTCCTTGTTGATTTTCTACTTAGATGATTTGTCCGTTGCAGTAGATGGAGTGTTATAGTACCTTACTATTATTGTATTATCATCAATATGTATCTTTAATTTTGTTGATAATTCATTTTTATAATTGGCTACTCCCATGTTAGGGGCATAAATATTTGCAATTGTTAGATCTACTTGGTGGATAGACCCTTTACTTATGATCTAGTGTCCTTCCTCATCTCTTTATTACAGTCTTGGGTTTAAAATCTAATTTGTCTGATATAAGGATTACACCCCAGCTTTCTTTTGATGTCCATTAGCATGATAAATGGTTTTGCACTCCCTCACTTTCAATTTGGAGGTGTCTTTGTGTCTAAAATGAATCTCTTGCAAGCAGCATATCTGTGGGTCTTGCTTTTTATCTAATCTGATACCCTGTGTGTTTTAATTGGGGCTTTTCCCCCATTTACATTTAGAGTAATGTATATCAGAGTATCTATTGAAAGATATAAATTTAGTGCCATTGTATTACTTGTACAGTCACTGTTTCTGTATATTGTCTCTGTTCCTTTCTGGTTCATGTTACTTTTGGACTCTCTCTTTGGTTAAAAGATCCCCCTTAATATTTCTTGCAAGGCTGGTTCAGTGATCACAAATTCTTTTAGTTTGTGTTTGTCCTGAAGCTTTTTACCTTCCTTCTATTTTGATTGGCAGCCTGGCTGAATAAAGTATTCTTGGCTGCATATTTTTCTCATTTAGCACCTTGAATGTATCATGCCAGTCCTTTCTGTCCTTCCAGGTCTCTTTGGATGGGTGTTCTGCCAATCTAATGTTTCTGCTTGTATATGTTAAGGACCTCTTGTCCTTACCTGCTTTCAGGACTTTTTCTTTGTCTCCAAGATTTGCAAGCTTCACTGTTATATGTTGAGATATTTACCTATATTTATTGGTTTTGAGGGGGTTCTCTGTGCCTCCTGAACTTGAATATTTGTGTTGAATATTTTTGTGACATAGATCACAAGTCAGACAGAGATCACAAGTAGGCAGAGAGGCAGGCAGAGAGGGGGTGAAGCAGGCTTCCTGCTGAGCAGAGAGCCTGATGTGGGGCTCGATCCCAGGACTCTGGGATCATGACCTGAGCCGAAAGCAGAGGCTTTAACCCACTGAGCCACCCAGGCGCCCCTCTAGTATTGTTTATTTTTATAGTATCATTTATCTCTCAGATTCTCCCCTCATGACCCAGTAGTTGTGTATCTCTTTTTCTCAGCATTTATTCTCCATCATTTTGTCTTCTATATCACTAATTCTCTCTTTTGCTTCATTTATCCTAATAATTAGTGCCTCCATTTTTTATTGCATCTCATTAATACCTCTTTTTATTTCAACTGGATTAGATTTTAGTTCTTTTATTTCTATAGAAAGGGATTCTCTTTATTGAAAATATTCCACTAAGCTTATTCCTAGTAATTTAAAGTGTTTTTGTTAGCATTGTGCATGGAATCTTTATATTATTATGTTTCTTAATTATTTCTAGTAGGAGGAAAATCTATTGATATGGAGGGCACTGTATTCAATTCTTTGCTTATACTTTTCTTTTTCCTTTGTTCTTTGCTTACACTTTTAATTAATTTCCTCAGTCTTCTTGGTTATCAATTGTTTGCACATATGTAATAATCATATGTAGCATAATGCACATACTTATAATACATAGCTGGATTCAAAAACAAAAAGAGAAAAAGAGAAAATTTCTAAGTATTATAATCAGTGAGGAAACACATAGCCCTAGTGACAATCTTCTCCCTAAGTGATACAAAATAATTTCACAACTATGAAAATTTTTCCAAGATTGTGGCCTTAGCATAACTGAAGACAAAGAATGTTGAACCTGCAAAATGTACAATCAGTAAAAAGAGAAAATCAACAAATCCAGCACAGGATCCTTCATATTCCCATCCCACCCTGCTCACTGCAAAGTCTATAAAGGCAGACCAAGAAAAACTGCAGAAGATAAAGCCTATAAAAGGGTCCTTTGGGCGATTAGGTATGATCACTAGAAGGGTAATTAACATTCAATCTGAGTTGAGTCAGAGAAGGAACTGTATGAAAGAGATTTCCAAGTATTGGTGATTTAAAGGGCCAGATATCAGAAAAAGTGTTAGTTATGTACCTTAAAGGGCCAGGGCTGTCCTAAAGGGTGTGCATGATTTAAAGGGGCAGGAGTTTAAAGGATAGGTGATATTTAAAGGGATAGTCTTCCAAACTCATGGTTTCAGCTGAAGAAAAAAAGTTAAAAGAATAAAGAATTATTTTTGCCACCTGGGTGGACATGGGAAAAGAAAGAAAAGGGAAAAATTTAGACTCCTGCAGGATAAAAGAAAACTACATAATTGGAGGACTCACAATCAGCAAAACAAAACAATAGGGACAAATTAACAGAAAATGCCCCATCTCTCTCTCTCTGTTTGATTATGACATTGTTGTAATGAAATACACGATGTTAAAATTTTTTATTTTTTCTCTGTTAAAGTGTTGAAGACAGTTATGACATTCAAAGCTGGCTGCAGCATTGGTGGATTTATTTTGGTATGGTTTCACTTATTGCATGGTCTACATTAATACCATTGTCATGCTTTCCACACAGTGTACGAGGTGACTATAAAACTATAATTCATTTAATTAAAAGACAATAGATTCCTTGTCCCCACCCCCATCTCCAATGTCAGAATATGGCTGAACTATATTTCTTTTTGTTATGGAGATATGGTGACATATGCTAGTGTTATTTGAGCAAATGAAGCTGGATTTGGCCAAATATTATTTTATTTATGTGCTAGACTTTAGTATGTATTTTTGCTTCTTGTCATTTTTTATACTAGAGTTCATAATTTTTCTTTAAAAAGAAACATGTTTTAATCTATTTATCTAGTATTATTTAATACATGAAAGAATTATTGAAGATAAAATAAGTATTAACTTTTTTTTGAAAACACTGAAAGCTAACATGTAACATTAGAGAAATCATATACTTTCCTAACAGTAGTACAAAATATTTTTAGCAATGTCAAAGATTACTCTTTTACATTTTAGGGCTGTGCTGTCAAATGCTAAAGTCACTTGCCACATGTGGCTACTTAAATTTCAAATTAAAATTAGAAACCCATGTACTCATTCATAGGAGCCACATTTCTAGTATTAATAATAGCTTCAGATAGCCCATGGCTACAGTATTGGACAGTACAGATATAGAAAATTTTCATTACTATAGAATATTCTTCATGACAACACTGTTTTAGGAGAATGTGCTTTTTACTTAATTAGATTGATCTTAGCTTGTTCACCCATAGCTCACTTATCATTTCAAGAAAAACTGGGTTTATTAAGATGTGTGCATATATTTAACTTTTTAAATTATTCAAACATGTCATAAGATTCTTTTACGTGTTATCATATAGGTACAGCAAAGATAAAAGCTGAGAAGCGTAAGCAGCCTCATCAATTCGGTGGACAGATTAAAGATAAGGAATTTGAAACTAGTATCAAGGATTTATTTGCTACTATTTGGGTAAAGTAAAATATTTTATGCACATAAGGCAAATAAGCTGACCTGTAGAAGATATAAGAAAATAACCACAAAGTGTTCAACTAAAATCTGAGTAGGACTTTTGAAGTCTTAATTAACTTTTTCATTTTATAGATAATGGAAAATAGGACCCACCTTACATAAGTGGCGTTTCCAGGAACATGGCTAGTGTCAGAGGATGGTACTAGTATTTTCCTTCTCTTTCTTTTAATTTTACTTTTGTGTTAATTTGTTTTGTTCTTTCCCTGAAGAAATACATAAGACATTTAATGAGATGACTTACAGGTATGTTTTAGTATGTTTAAATGACTTAGCAGAGAACTCTAGAAGTTAGTAAATATTGCAGACATCATATTTTATGGAAAATATCTCAGTATCCAATGGAGAAGAAATCTTTGCTTCTCTAGGTGAGAAACAAGACCTGCGATATAGACATAGATTGAAAAACCCAACTTCTTTTTAAAATTTTTTAGATTTTATTTATGTGAGAAAGAAAGAGAGAGGGAATATGTGAGTGCAAGCAGAGGAGGAGCAGAAGGGGGCGGAGAGGGAAAGAATCTCAAACTCAATGCTCAGCGTGGAGTGAGCCATGGAGCTCGATCTCACGACCCTGCGATTATGATCTAAGCTGAAACTGAGAGTCCGATGCTCAACTGACTGAGCCCCCTTCACCCTGAAAAAATCCCAGCTTCTAAATAGTGATCCTATATTCAATTTGCTTCCTCTTCTCCTTTTCATAACTTTATCCTTTATGTTGTGGGCAGAACAGCATTGAAGATATAAATCTAACACCCATGGCTCTATGGAGCCATGTTCTTGTGTGGGTCTTAGATCTTAAAAAAAATACAGATTAAAAGCAAGTGATTAACAATTATGTAGAGGAAATTCCATGTAAAATGGAATTGGGTCAAAGTAGGCTTCACCAAACAGGAGCTTTTAAATGGAAAACCCTAAAGCAAAAGAAGGAATTATTCATGCAAAGAATGGTCATTAAGAAAATTCCAGGCATAAGAAGCACATGTGGAAACTTGTGTTTGAGGCAGCAGAGTTTTGGCTACATTCTGTTTAGAGAATACTTGTATGTTTAGACCATGGTTGCTTGGTGGGCAGAGTGAAAGGATATACGAGGTTGGAGAGACAAGCAGAGGCTAGCTCTTGAAGGTCCTTGTGGGACATAACGAGAACTTCAGATTTTTTTTTTTTTTAAAGATGTTTTTTATTTATTTATGAGAGAGAGAGAGAGAGCGAGCACAGGCAGACAGAATGGCAGGCAGAGGCAGAGGGAGAAGCAGGCTCCCTGCCGAGCAAGGAGCCCGATGTGGGACTCGATCCCAGGACGCTGGGATCATGACCTGAGCCGAAGGCAGCTGCTTAACCAACTGAGCCACCCAGGCGTCCCGGCAGATTTTGTTTTTAATGCAATAGGAAGTCACTAATATAAATAAGGGAATAATGTTCTAAGAACTTTAAAACATGGTTTTACGTAAAAAATGGGTTAGAGTGGGATAAGAATTGAAAAGGCAGTATGATTTGGGTGTTGTTAACAGGAAGTTTTCTCTCGGTATTATAAATGGTTATTTTTTATTCAACTGTAGTACATGAGACCCAATTACAAGAACCAACTAAAGAATTACTTGGAATTTGTAAATTCAGGGCTATTGACAATGGTTTGTAGAAGAAGAAAAAAGGTAGACCTTTCACATAGGAATATGATTTGAGATTCTTGAGCCTTAAAAAGAAAGAAAATAAATTAAAACCTAAAATATGGGGAAGCAAATGTTCTAAAATCTACATATAGACATGTAATATTAAGATCCAACAGAAAGCTTATGTATCTAGACTCTTGCCTATAGGTAAGAAAACAGAGGGGAAAATGGGCCATACTTTAGGGAGCCTACTAGATTAGAAAAGTTCCCACTGTTTGCTTTGTTTCATGGTTTAGCACCTGCCAAAACTATTTCTTAGCAAAATGTAGCTATGTTGGTGAAATTATTCTATTTTATTTTATTTTATTTTACATTTTGGTGAAATTTGAGTAGGGCATTTCTTCTCTGATCCTAAGTGAGTCAGCCAGTGATTTCTATTAGGTTGGTGGTTACTTGTGAGTTAGTTAAGCAATGCAGGTCATTAAAGAATTCACATAAGGAATGTAAGAATTCATGTAAGGAGTTGAGCAGTGGGTAAAAATCTCCTGATGTTGTAGGTGTAGGTTTTTTTTTTTTCTAAAAAAAGAGGTTTCTTGTCATAAATTTTTATTTAAAGGAGCCAGAGAACTATCTAGTTTTAGAATGTATTCTCTCTACTATTACCATATTTCTTGTTGGTCCTTACTTATATATTTTAGAAAATTCATCAATTAAGGAAAGAAAAAAGTTTTATTCAAATGTCAGTAAAGATAATTTTAATTTTAAAATAGATAAAATAGACATAAATAAAAGCTAAAAAGCCTGAAGAGAGACAAAATATTTAATATATTTATAAAGTTATAATATCCATTGCAAATCCTCAATAATATATTAGCAAATCAAATCCAACATTAAAAGAATTATTCACCATGATCGAGTGGGATTTATTCCTGGGGTGTAGGGTGGTTCAATATTTGCAAAACAATCAACATGATATATTACATTAATAAAAAGAGATAAGAATGATATGGTCCTCTCAATAGGTGCAGAAAAGCGTTTGACAAAATACAGTATCCATTTTTGATAAAAAACCCTCAACAAAATGGGTGTATATGGAACACGCCTCAACATTATAAAGGCCATGTATGAAAGACCCACAACTAATATCATTGGGGAAAAACTGAGAGCTTTTCTTCTAAATTTAGGAACAAGACAGAGATGTCTATTCTCACCATTTCTATTTAACATAGTATTAGAAGTCTTTAGCCTTTGGCAACCAGACAACAAAAAGAAATAAAAAGAATCTAAGTTGACAAGAAGTAAGCTTTCATTATTTGCAGAGGACAGGACACTTTATGTAGAAAATCCAAAAGATTCCACCAAAAAATTGCTAGAACTAATACATGAATTCAGCAGAGTTGCAGGATACAAAATCAATGTACAGAAATTTGTTGCATTTCTATACACCAATAATGAAGCAGAAGAAAGAGAAATCAAGTAATTGATCCCATTTACAATTGCACCAAAAACCATAAGATAGGAATAAACTTAACCAAAGAGGAGGTAAAAGATCTGTACTCTGAAAACTATAGAACATTTATAAAAGAAATTGAAGATGACACAAAAAAATAGAAAGGTCTTCCATGCTCATGAATTGGAAGAACAAATATTATTAAAATATCTATATTACCCAAAGCAATCTACATATTTAACACAACTCCTATCAAAATACCACCAACATTTTTCACAGCACTAGAACAAACAATCCTAAAATGTGTATGGAACCACAAAGCCACAGAAAAACCAAAGCAATCTTGAAAAACAAAAGCAAAGCTGGAGGCATCACGATTCTGGACTTCAAACTATATTACAAAGCTGTAGTTATCAAGACAGTATGGTACTGGCACAAACCCAGACATGGATCAATAGAACAGAACAGAAAACCCCAAAATGGATCCACAACTATAAGATCAGCTAATCTTCAACAAAGCCGGAAAGAATATCCAATGGAAAAAAGACAGTCTCTTGAACAAATGGTATAGGAAAAACTGACAGCAATAAGCAGAAGAATGAAATTGGATCACTTTGTACATTACACACAAAAGTAAATTAAAAAATGGATGAATGACCTAAATATGAGACAGGAATTCATCAGAATCCTAGAGGAGAACACAAGCAGCAACTTCTTTGACATCAATGGTAGCAACTTCTTACTGGACACATCACTGAAGGCAAAGGAAACAAAAACAGAAATAAATTATTGGTAGTTTGTAAAGATAAAAATCTTCTGCACAGCAAAGGAAACAATCAACAAAACTAAGATGTAGCCTGTGGAATGGGAGAAGATATTTGCAAATGACATATCTGATAAAGGGTTAGTATCCAAAATCTATGAAGAACTTACCAAACTCAACACCCAAAACCCAAATAATACAGTTAAGAAATGGGCAGAAGACATGAATAGATATTTTTTCTAAAGAAGACATACAGATGGCTAACAGACTCATGAAAATATGATCAATATCACTCATCACTGGGAAATGCAAGTCAAAACCATGACGAGATACTGCCTCACACCTGTCAGAATGGCTGAAACTAATGACACAGGAACTAAAAGATGTTGGTGAGGTGTAGAGAAAGGAGACCCCTCTTGCACTCTTGGTGGGAATGCAAACTGGTGCAGCTGCTCTGGAAAACAGTATGGAGGTTCCTCAAAAAGTTAAAGATAGGGGTGTCTGGATGGCCCAGTCAGTTAAGTGTCCGACTTTTGATTTCAGCTCAGGTCATGATTTCAGAGTCCTGGGATTGAGCTCCGCATCGGGCTCTCTGCTTAGTGGGAAGTCTGTTGTCTCTCTCTCCTTCTGCTTGCTCTGTCTCTCTCTCTCTCTCTCAAATAAATAAAAAATCTTAAAAAAAAAAGTTAAGAAAAGGACTATTCTATAACCCAGCAATTGCATTATAGGTATTACCCAAAGGATTAAAAAAAAATACAGATTCAAACAGGCATATGCACTTTGATGTTTATACCAGCATTATCATCAATAACCAAAATATTGAGAGAGACAAAATGTCCATCAGCTGATGAATGGTAAAGAAAATGTGGTGTACACACACACACACACACACACACACACACACACACAGGAATATTACTCAGCCATCAAAAGAATGATATATTGCCATTTGCAATCATGTGGATTGAGCTACAGTGTATTATGCTATGTGAAATAAGTCAGTCAGAGAAAGACTATGCCATATGAGGTGGAATTTAAGAAACAAAATAGATGAACATATGGGAAGGGTAAAAAGGAGAGAGAGAGAGAGAGATGGAAACAAATCGTTAGAGACTCTTAATGA